TGCACTATTGTATAAAAATTGTTCCTGGACTTTTTGTTTTAGTTTGTCTGTTGTCGTTGCCGTTTTACAATAAGCGGCGGAGTCCTCCATGGCTGCTTACTGCTGTGAGTCAGCAGCAATGATAGCAAAGTAACATGAAGATGAACAACTCACCATTTTCGCAGTGTTCAGCCCTAATTATGGGAAACTTGTAAAACGGGTGTTTGAACAATCGTGCATTGCTTCTTGTAGCAAATAAAGACAGCAACTATTTGTCAAAATACAGCAGTGAATGAAAATTATACCACTAATGTGTACTTAAACAGGTTCTTAAGTCAACAGGTACTCACGCACATTTAAACTTACCGCTTACAAAAACAACAAGGCTCGCCATAGCAGGAACATTTTTTTTAAATAAACATAGCACATGCGCAATTTAACTAACCTCATAACTGACAGCGGCAGTGTCCAATCAGAGCGCCGAAACAACAGGCTTCTTTTTAAAAATGACCAAACCTTTTTTAAATGAATGAATTCATTCTTTTGTTGGTATTTTTTCTAATCGTGAGGAATAAAAGTAAAGCGGTGAGCGTGGCGTTGGACAGTCTCAATGCTCAATGAGTGAGTGTTGACAGCTCTGACAGATTTTTAAAAAAGGCAACGGTGACTAAATCCAACTTTCAGCCACTGAGGGTTACACAGACAGGCAAGTAAATTTTTTATTCCGTCTGAACTTGGTGATGATCTTTGAGATTATCTTCCCCTTGGGCTATACATCTTAAGCGGTTGAAACCCGGCATAGTCACTCAAACCAACACTTTCTCCACTAAAAATAGTAGCTTCTTAACTATCAACAGTAAGTGTTTCAAGGAATAATGAATGTTGCACAAGATGTGAAAATCCTTTGTTTGGGTAATAGTGCTGAACAAGGCAACAGGGCGGAACAAGGAAATACTTCTGACAACTGTCAAGCTGTGGCACTAATTTGTCGCAGTGGCTATTAACCTAATGGAAATCATGCTATAGATATTCTAAGTTCTCAATTCGTATACAGTCCTATTTTTAAAGGAATAACGAATGTGTTAAAATACTTCACTAACATGGAATTGCATTGCAAGGTTTAAGTCATCCTGCCAAAGTTGGACAAAACTTTCCTGTACGACTGAGAGCCTCCACAAGCACCTAGGTATGAGTGTGAGTTGTTTTGTCTCTGTGTGCCCTGCGACTGGCTGGCAACCGGTACAGGGTGTCCCTCGCTTACTGCCCAAAGACGGCTGGGATAGGCTACAGCAACTCCCCGCGACCCTTGCGAGGAGAAAGCGGATCGGATTTCGATTCAAATAACAATGGTACCGCTCAGTTCCCCATGAGTTCCTTGTTGTCATTTTAAATACCCACTCAAGAACAAATGAATTTGTCAGTACTTGTAATCGTTGCTGTCCTGTGAAAAACATGCAAGTCCATTTTTGTTATATATAAAAAAAAAAAAAACATAAATGGGATGTCCCCTACCCGTTAAACTTTTTTAAAAATGACAAAAATGGACATCTCTTTTTTTCACAGGACAGTGACAAAATGTGTCATTTCTATCAAATATGTGTCTTTTCATTTCAAGATGATTCGATACAGATCTTGATAGATTTTGAAGAGGAACAATTCAACTTGGTTAGATTCAATGCACTCACATCTTTTAAACGAAACAAAAGATTCCAATGTTTTTTTTGTTTTTGTTGCACACCTAATATATCGAAATCCTCATCAATCAATCATCACGTCATCATGCAGCTCCCCCTTAAGTTTGTTTGAGGGGAGAGAACAGATTTCATTTCGTTTTCATTTATTTCTTTATTTCATGCTTTAAAAGAAAAGAAAAAAGGAGCAGAGTCACCGCATTACTGTAGCCATGCACACACACACACACACACACACACACACACACACACACACACACACGCACACACACACGCACAGGCACACACACACTCACATGCACACAAACAAACACACACACACACACGCACACACACACAAATGCAGAAGAGCATTTGTTGAATGATGGCTTGTTTGTGGTTCTGTGGTGAAAAAGGGGTGTTGAGAGGTGGTAGTGGAGAGGGGAAGCAGAGGTGTGGAGGTGAAGACAAGCTGGACGTTCAGAAACAAAAACTGCCTTTGGGCCAGGTGCTCTCTGTGTGTGATTTCACGTCTAGCTATGTTGTGTTTGTATGCATAGATGTATGTATAGACGTGTTTTTATGACATCATGTTGTTGCAAGTCGGGACTTGCCATTTTAGCTACCGTAATTCAAAACTCTCCATAGCAGATACAGGCCTACCATGTAATTTTCAATTATTATTATTATTATTATCATTATTATTATTATTAGTATTAGTAGTAGTATTCACAGATTTATTAATTTTAGATTAGCTTTAGGAAAGGTAGAAATAATTACAGTACCCTAGTTGTGTTGACTTTATCCACCTTCCTATTCCACCACTATCACCCTGCAATGATGGTAACCATCAGTACTATGCACAAATGCAATGCGGCAGCAATTATCAATGCCATGAACATCAACTGGAGCATTTCAAAATGGATTATTATCTAATCACAAGACAAATACATAACCTAATTAAAGCAAATGCATGACACTAACCAAAGATACCGATGATGAAATGTGCGCAAATCACAAAGGATGATTTTGAAAGATGAAGTCGCATTCACACGCCTTGTCTGGGATGAGTTTGCAAAACATTTTGCCGAAAACATGCCATCCACAAACCATGTGACATCGATTTAACCTTGGACAGAGCAATGCGGTAAATTCAAACAGTGTCCGGATTTTGTTTTCTCCTGCTTAGTCTGAGTCTTGTGAATTTGAATGCTGATTGGTTGATTAGATTCACATGCAATAGTGTATGCAAAGCATCATTGCCCGGGACGAGCACATGCAACTGATGCCCCTTCAAAAATGATTGTCGACAGGGGTGCAGGGAGCCAAGAGGGCAGTAAGGATGGAAAATATCTGTCAATATACATCTGCCGTCTGATGGGCTTCATGCCCATTTGTCAAAGGTGCGCCATCAAATGGTCTGATGCCCATTCCGAACCGATCGTTTGTAGGTAGGGTCACTTCTCCATCGCCCCTCCCAACTTTGCACGCACCTCTTTACAGGTACCCCATCGAGGCTGAAATCTGATTGAACCAAAACCACAACGTCCACAAAATGCTACAAAATAGAAAAAAAATACACCGTTAGGGATAGATGGTATTAATAACATTTTATGAAATTTTTGAATTTAGTTTGTAAATGTAGGTCAGTACTTCTGATCGTGTTCAAACCAGAAGGTAAGGCCTTGTTGGCCGTGACTACTCTTTACTGATTATTTTCCATCTGTGTATGTAAACACATCAGCGTGCTGCAATGAACTGTGTTTGACTTTAATGTCCCACTGTAAATCTGTTACCTCCTTATTAGGGCCTGAGCAGGGTACGGTACGAGGTCCCTATTGTTTCGACAGAAATTATTTTTTTCACCGTAATGATTTTGATTTTTGAGGGCCTATACATGAACGAAAACTCACGGTACACAAGTCAGACCTGGCAAAACATATAAATATTTTAAAGTAGGCATACACACAGGGCCTCTCCAACCCCTTTGGGTGCCCTAACCTGAAAGTCAGATGGTGCCCCCCTCACTCTGATATATAGGGACTGGATCTGTAGCGCTCCCTACAGAGCCTTAATTTTCTTTATATTGCTCGGCTTGTGAATCTGAATTGAGAACGTTTGGAAACAGACTTCTCCAAAAGGCAGTGACAAAATAGTTTTGAGAACTGGCTCAAATTTGGGGTTACGCCTGATTTTCATACATTTGATTCGTACTTAGGGAACATAACGATCTGATAAATGTTGGTAAAGGTCACCCTGTCTGTCTGTCTGTCTGTCTGTCTGTCTGTCTGTCTGTCTGTCTGTCTGTCTGTGTGTGTGTGTGTGTGTGTGTGTGTGTGTGTGTGTGTGTGTGTGTGTGTGTGTGTGTGTGTGTGTGTGTGCGTGTGTGCGGGGGGGGACCACACGTAAACAATGACGACACCTGCTGTTGTTGCTTTTTACACTTTTTTTAAAAATTATTCTTTGTTGTGGGCCCACGCCTGCTTGACATTGGCTCCGCTTATAGCGCGAGTGCAGCAGAACTGGCTCAAATTTGGGGTTACGCCTGATTTTCATACATTTGATTCGTACTTAGGGAACATAACGATCTGATAAATGTTGGTAAAGGTCACCCTGTCTGTCTGTCTGTCTGTCTGTCTGTCTGTCTGTGTGGGCGTGATTCCCGCGAGCAGGGCTAACTTGAAGCTCGATTGATTTGTTGGAGGAGGAGGAGAAAGTGAAAGGGGAGGAGTGGAGGGGGAGGCGAGATCACGCAGGGGGGAGAAGCAGAGAAGAGATTGTGCGTGTTTTGAGTACGCCAACTCGCGAACGATCGTGAAAAGCAAGCAGTTCAAGTGGTGGCCGGCTCGTGCGCTGCAATCACACGTGTGTGGATGCGAGGACATGTCAAAGTGTGAGCACTATCGTTGACAGCCATACTTTCTCCTCTTCCTAGGCTCTCCTAGTGCACCTCGGCCCTGCATTCGTGGAGTGGAAGGGTTTTAATGCTCTTGCTCACCCGTGGGGGACAGCAAGGAGAGAAGAGCGGGGAAGAAGAAGAGGAGGAAGAAGAAGTAGTAGTCCCGAGGCCTGAGCACCACTCCTCCTCGCCTTTTTGAGCTCTGTCCTCTCCCCCTTCCTGGCCCTGCATGGACGGGGATGGGGAGAGCCGGATGCTGTTGCAGCGGGGCTGAGCGCCTCGCCTCCCCGTCTACGGTGCGCCGCTTCCGGCCACTGCTGCTACTGATCATCGCTCTGACCTCCGCTGCCCGCATAGGTAAGCACATCGCGGACACTTTTTTCCCCATTGTATCAATCTCTGCTCACAGCGTGCAATAAACATACCACACGTAAACAATGACGACACCGGGTGTTGTTGCTTTTTACACTTTTTTATTATTATTCTTTGTTGTGGGCCCACGCCCGCTTGACATTGGCTCCGCTTATAGCGCGAGTGCAGCAGTCCCGGCCCGGATCGAGTTTCTTCATGCTCCACTCTCTGGGGCCGTCATTCTCCTCCTGTCTGCCCCTTAATGGCTACTAGAGTCGGGGAGACTGGCAGCATTCCTCCTGCACATGTGAATATAGTTGTTATCAATAATTGTCTTAGCAGGTATGGGTCTCATCATAAAAGTAAAGCCTTGTTTTATGTATAGTTTTAGGAGCAGCTCAATGAATAGCAATCAATGCATCCTATGCACAGGGACGCAATAAAAGTTTAGCTCAATAAATGTAGTTGAAAAGCACGTTTTCTACGTTTTATAAATACTACTGTAATAAATTCTATCTATATTAATCTCTATTAGGTGTGTCTCCAACATCAAAGTTGAAACAGTATTAACAGCTGATATAATTACTCACAAACCCTGTACTGCACCTCGATATAGAGACACCAGTAGTGCATAACATAATAGACATCTCTGGTAGGGATATCTTCATCGTAAAAGTTAAATGCCGTCATTCGTGTTAGCCTCATTTTAATGATCCCGCTCAACAATGTTAGGATAGGCTGTCAAAGGCATGTTCCTAGCATAAACTGTCTTCTAAAATGAGCTGCAGGAGAAACACGTCTTTGTCTGAATAAGGGCAAGAGTATAAAGGATGTGTTCACCTGAAGCTAAATGTTACTAGGGTGTTTTAAATGTATCGCTATGAAATAAAACACGCAGACAACTTTATCTCAAAGCTGTTTAAGGACATCATTCACTTCCCAGTCCCACATAGTTTGGTTGTTTTATCCTGGTGAACAAATGCATGTTTATATGGGACTAAAAGCAGACTCTCTCTTTATGTAGCCTCTTGTTCAAAAGTGTGCCTGTGTGTGTGTGTTATAGTGCGTGTGCAGGGGGTTGGCTGTCTGTAGAGCAGTCACACCTTCAGTAATTAGTTTAAAAGTAGTTAACTAGTTATGGGTCTCATCATAAAAGTAAAGCCTTGTTTTATGTATAGTTTTAGGAGCAGCTCAGTGAATAGCAATCAATGCATCCTATGCACAGGGAAGCAATAAAAGTTGAGCTAAATAAATGTAGTTGAAAAGCACGTTTTCTACGTTTTATAAATACTACTGTAATAAATTCTATCTATATTAATCTCTATTAGGTGTGTCTCCAACATCAAAGTTGAAACAGTATTAACAGCTGATATAATTACTCACAAACCCTGTACTGCACCTCGATATAGAGACACCAGTAGTGCATAACATAATAGACATCTCTGGTAGGGATATCTTCATCGTAAAAGTTAAATGCCGTCATTCGTGTTAGCCTCATTTTAATGATCCCGCTCAACAATGTTAGGATAGGCTGTCAAAGGCATGTTCCTAGCATAAACTGTCTTCTAAAATGAGCTGCAGGAGAAACACGTCTTTGTCTGAATAAGGGCAAGAGTATAAAGGATGTGTTCACCTGAAGCTAAATGTTACTAGGGTGTTTTAAATGTATCGCTATGAAATAAAACACGCAGACAACTTTATCTCAAAGCTGTTTAAGGACATCATTCACTTCCCAGTCCCACATAGTTTGGTTGTTTTATCCTGGTGAACAAATGCATGTTTATATGGGACTAAAAGCAGACTCTCTCTTTATGTAGCCTCTTGTTCAAAAGTGTGCCTGTGTGTGTGTGTTATAGTGCGTGTGCAGGGGGTTGGCTGTCTGTAGAGCAGTCACACCTTCAGTAATTAGTTTAACACAGCCATGGCAGCGGGACAAAAGCACGCCTACACACAGCCTGGTGGGAAAAACAGAGACCCACTTGCCATTAAAAAAAGAACCTTCTAGGCACCCCTCGGCCTCACCTGGAAAGAATGTGTATCATTCATTTGGCAAACAGAGGATTGATTTGTATTAACTTGTACAATCCGTGATCGTTCCTGAGATGTACTTCTCATTGCTGTTTTAGTCTTCGCGGACGTCAGTGCCGTGCGTTTGTTTAGACAGGAAGACAGGAATGTCGGAATCTTGTGTTCGCACTCCTGATTTTCTAGTCAAGGAGGGTGCATGTTGTTGTGAGTTCCCGTAAAGTGTTGCAGCCTGTGCTCGGAGGGCTGTTTGTGTGATCCGAGCTCAGGGTGAGAGAGCGAGTGCACAACAAGGTGATCAATAAGCACTTGGGTTGTGAGATAGTCCCTGTCAAATCTCTGGAGATAAATGTGGTTGGAGGCTTCCAAATCAGGAGACAAAAGAAAACTCCAAACCGAGCCGAGGAGATTCACATTGTGGATTGTTTGAACTCATTGTGTTTGTAGAGAAGCCATGTGGGGAATGCAGGAGCTTGTTTGCCGGCTGAAATATTGCTGATGGCGGCGAATTATTGAGGCTGGAACACTTTGACCTGCAGAGTAGCAGCTATACAGCAAAACAGTGTTGAACCTCTAAGATAATAAAAGCAGAAGAAGCAATGCAGCAAACAAGAAAGGCAAATACTGCTGTTGTGTAATGCTGTTTTATTGTTTCTACTCACCTTTGATTATGAAGCGCATCAGGCTCACCGTTTGCTTAATAGGCGTCATGTTCATCTTTTTAAGGGAATGTAGTCCGATATATTTTTTCACCTTCGCTGTGTGTGTGTGTGTGTGTGTGTGTGTGTGTGTGTGTGTGTGTGTGTTACATCTCCATTGTAACAATGAAACTTTGCCATCTTCAGTTTGGGCACCAGCCACAGTGGAATTGCTCTGAGGGTGGAGCTGCACATAGCAGTCAGTTGATTGGCTCACTGTTGTGCAACAACAGGGATGAAATAGGCAGAGCGCATAAAACACTTTCTCATAAACAGAGCTCATCTTCTTGGAATGAAAAGTAACATGCCAAGGGGACAGAGACCACAAAATACTCGACTGTCATCCTTTGTTCAGCATGTCGTATTCCTATTCTTGACTTGATAGCATCATAATTGATAGATTACTCTCAGTTGCTGTGGAATTAGTGGTGTTTTTATATTTCAAAAATTGGTAGGGCACCTGCAGCCCCCGTTTAGATTCCAAAGTATAAAAGTTACAGTTCTATTCAACTTTTTTCTAATTCGCTTTTCCTCATAAGGGTTACCAGAGCCTATCCCAGCTGTCTTCGGGCAGTAGGCGGCGTACACCCTGAACCGGCTTCCAGCGAATCGCAGGGCACACACAGAGACAAACAACCATCCGCGCTCACACTCACACCTAGGGACAATTTAGAGTGTTCAATCAGCCTGCCATGCATGTTTTTGGAATGTGGGAGGAAACCGGCATACCCAGAGAAAACCCACGCAGGCATGGGAGAGAACATGCAAACTCCACACAGGAAAGCCAGAGCCGGAATCGAACCCATGACCTCTGCACTGTGAGGCGGAAGTGCTAACCAGTCGACTACCGTGCCACCCTCTTTCAACTTATACGGTCTAATTAACATTTATAAAATCTTTCTTTTTTTTCATAAATCAAAACATAAATCATTCAATGCATATTCACTTTAAAATTCATCTCAACTGAAATAAAAATTTTGCCTATCCCCTGGTCACTTGACACATCTGAGTGCCCCCCCCCAAAAAATGTCA